AGATATAACCTCAAGGGTGATAGGTAATAGGTGTGTGCACCAACCACAATATTCATCTGAGTCAGCACTTCAGAAAACAGTCTCTATTGGTATGAGGCACTTTGAAGGTTGGCTCATTAGATGCAGGGTCCATTTGAAACACAAACACACTTCATTAGGACAGTTGTTGTTTTTTTAAAGCATGGCTGTAATATTTTCCTCATTTTGACAGAAGTGGATGGAATTCGCAGGCATGCAACATATTAGCCCCTCCACAGAGGACAAAGCCTGCCTATTTCATTTTAATTTATTTATGTGTTTATTTCAAAAAGTATTTCGATGAAATTTGCAGAAAAGGTCACCCCTTCTGAGGATATGATACCTGTCAAATTTCAGAAGATTGACCTGCAAGAGAATTCCTATATTTTTTGTGGGAAATTGATCAGAAAATTACAGACACAAGGGGAGACTACTGGGTAAGAAACCTGCCAAATTGCAGAGAAATAAGCCCAACGGTTTTTTATATTAAGGAATATTTAAATTTGATTGTGGGAAGAACTGAATTTTGGCCGTTTCATTTTTATAGAAAGCTACCTACCTAGATCCCAAAGTAAGCTTTTGCCCTTGTAGGTGAGACTGACTAGGAGCAGAACCAGCTTGGGATTCTCCTCAAGGAAATTGAGTTTAACTTTTTGAGCACCCTTCTCAATTCCTCAAAGTCCCATATAGTAGACAGGCTTTAGGACAGTTGGTTCCCAAACCATATAACACGAGCATTTATTTTTAAGACAGCAAAGGGGGTTAATTCACTGAGGGCACTAAATAAAGTAAGTGATCTGATAGTGATGTTCAATAAATGCTGCACAATAAGCGGTGCTTGAATGTGAGATTTCAGGTTAAAGGGAGTTCCCTAGGAAGAGGGATTGGTTGCTAAACCACTCTGGGAACTATAGCTCTGCATGGGGCATAATTGTCTCAAAGCAACTCTCAACACACTTAAACTGCATTTCCCAGGATTATTTGTGGGAAGCCATGACAGTTAAAGTGATGCGGTAAAGTGCTTTAAATATATGCTGCAGTTGTGGCCAAAAATTGGCAGCAAAAACAACAGCACCAGCCAGGTCCATAAGGGTGCCCGTGGTTCAGCGATCCACCACTATATGCAACCATGCCGAAAATGGATTCTCCATCCTCCTCCTCCTTGTTGAGGCTCAACATTCACCTCCTTAATGTTGCTGCAACAATGAATACAGTTCCCAGCTCTTTGGCTTGCAGCACAGTGTCCCTCCCATTGCCCCTCCTCCAAAACGCCATTCCTAACCTTCATTCTTTTCATTTGCACTGCTTACTCTTACTGCATTTACCGGCTTGATTTTACTTTGGGGAGTGAACCGCCCAGTTTCTGATTACTTTGTTTTCTAACCACTGAGCTCTGCAAAGGAAATAATAGTAGTTTTCCATTCTGGTTATAAAAGGGCAGAGTAACCCCCCCAGATAAAACAAATAGCAATTCCGAAACTCTTCTGAGACTTGCATCATATCCTTACATGAGTTCAATGGACTGAACAGAAGGTGAACTTTGATCCATGTCTGCTTCTTTGCATGCTTGGTTACAGCGCTGTTTTGAGTTACAGAAAAGGAAGTGCGGGAAGAAAACACTGCAGCAATAGCCGTCCACAAAATAAAAGGTGTGAGAATTTTGTAGGGAGCTGCAGCATTTTTGTACGACTTGTAGCTACCCTTTGCAGATTGAAGGCAGCTCACTCTGTCAACCAGCCAGGCATTTGCAGAGGCTGATAGCGATTAAGATATTTTACAAGGGATGATACATTTTAAGAAATAATAAATCTGGCTCCCCAGCTGGTCACCATCTGCGGTACATTTGATGTGAAATAATCTACATCGTTGCTGTATGGGCTCACACAGATGACGCAGGCTCCTACTGGCTACAAGGGGAGATGACATCACAGGAGTGTCATGGAAGCCCTGTGCTGTGTCCAGAGGTGAATAAAAGCTCTCCTGTCTCAATAGTAAAAGCCCTTTTCACTTCGGCGTTCTTGTTGGCAACACAGTGGCTACTGCCAGAACTTTGAAGTCCATCAACTGTGGGATACATCTTTAAAAATTCAGCTGCGACTGCACAGGCTGCAGGGAAGCCAACCAGCTAGCATGAGCCCAGTCAAGAGTTGGTTCGGTGGGCATTGATTGAGGGCTCACACTCCAGCAAGGAACCCACTGCCAAGAGCAGACATCCCTGGTGGTGTGGTTCTACTGCACCTACCTCCCCCCCACTGCCTCCCCCCTCTCTCTCCTGGTAAGCAACATTGACCCGCCTGCCATGAAACTAGTGCAGCAGCTCTGCCCCACCCAGTGAGCTGCATCTGCAAACTACCAGAAAGGATGCTATTGGAAAGGCATACTGTATAAGCTAAACTCTTTCCATTTTGAAGATGCCTCTTGAGAGTCCCATGGACTGCAAGAAGATCAAACCTCTCCATTCTGAAGGAAATCAGCCCTGAGTGCTCACTGGAAGGACAGATCCTGAAGCTGAGGCTCCAATACTTTGGCCACCTCATGAGAAGAGAAGACTCCCTGGAAAAGACCCTGATGTTGGGAAATATTGAGAGCACAAGGAGAAGGGGACGACAGAGGACGAGATGGTTGGACAGTGTTCTCGAAGCTACCAGCATGAGTTTGACCAAACTGTGGGAGGCAGTGGAAGACAGGAGTGCCTGACGTGCTCTGGTCCATGGGGTCACGAAGAGTCGGACACGACTAAACGACTAAACAACAAATTGCAATGTACCTGAAGGCTACTGGTGTAATTCAGTAGACATACCAGGGGTGCCAACTTGAATAAAATATTTGGGGAGGGTAATCCCCCCACATAATTGATCACGAAACATGACACATGAATGCCATTTGCTCATCAACAGGGGGGGCTCAGCCCCCTCAAATATTATATGGAGACACAAAGGGACCTCGCCCCCTAGAAGCTGGCTCCTATGACCCATACCAAAATGCCAACCAATCCCTGTCTCCACTGCATTATTATTAGAGAGGGTAACCGTGCATGTAATATATTCCAAGATCACCTTTTTCTGCAAGCATAGCATACCAGCCAAGAAGGCTGCTGTATTAAATATTTACATATAGAAATTCCATAGATGTGCCTCTGTAGACCACATGGCTAATTCGGTCAGCGTTTGCTCTCCCTTATCTGCACTGCATCACACAGAGCTGCACCCTTCTATATAAAGCCAACACAAGAGAAATCACAGTTCTTCAATCAAATATAAAAACTACAGAAGATAAAGTGGGGGGGGCACACAATTATGAGATGAAGAGATCACTGTCTCATTTATTTGCTGATGAAATAACATATTTCAACTGGGAACATATTTTCTAAGATATTAGCAATATTAAAGCCAAATATTTAATATATAACCTACTCATATTACTCATGATTTCTTTACATGATCCCACTCATCTTGAATCTATTAAAAGCTGTTAGTATTTTAACATCCAACTTCATCAGCTACAGGGCTGGGAGAGCTTTCAAGCAAAACATGGAAATGTTGAAACGATTGCCTTCCGATTTTATCTAACTTTTGCACTAATTAACCCTGAATTAGGAGATGGAGTGGGATGATCAGAGATCACTGCCTAAAAGGCTGCTTTGGCATAGGATGTTGCAGGAAGAAATTGCTAATTTTGAATTGTTTTTCATCAACAGCTTCTCTCCCTCTTTTAAAATCCAATCCTTCTTCTAAGGAACATTGGGTTTTCCCCCCCATTTTATTTTCACAACATCCGTTTGAGGTCGTTTGGGATAATAAGGTCTCACTGACTCATACTAGCTACTACTTTCCTCAAGAGTTCATCTGTAAAACCTGTTAATCAAATGATTTAAAAATCCGCTTAACTTCAATGGTCAGGGGAGGTTGCCCAGGGTCCAAGATCTGGCAGCCGACCTGGGAAAGGTTGCCTGCCTACCTGTGGAAAGGCCAATGGCAGGCCAGTCTGGGGGCTGGGATTCCCCAGGGGGCGGGCCCAACCGGCCAATTGGGTCTACCCCCCCCCCCCCCGGGGAATAAATTGAGGCCAGGCCAGCATTCCTCCTCGGTGTTGCTTGATCTTTCGGACATACCAATCAGCTCTGTTTCCTTCCATTTTTAGTTCCCAGTGAAGAACAAAGCTAGACTTCACATGCAGATTTGAACATATTCCTGATGGTTTGTTCTTGTTTTAAAAACAAAAGCAGCTTGTGATCTTCAGGAGGGACTGTGGCAGTGGGTTGCTTAACTCTTCCCCCCGTGGACATTTTGTTTCTCAATTGCTTCCCTCCTTCCCACTGCTACCCTTTACTGATTTAGCCTTTGCTTTCACGAGAAGCATGAAGGCAGTCCATGAGCAGCCTGTGATCCCTGCAACTTTTGAGGAATGTGTGGGGCAGGGCTCTTTTGCGTTCTTTTTTATCCAAGGACCACAGTGTGGGTGCCAAGCGGACCTCTCTGGAGAAGGCATTATACAATTGGGTTGCTGCCATAAACAAGACCCTCTCCTTAGTAGGCACCAACATCACCAAAGTTGGGTTCTGGAGATTATCATAGGGTCCAGCCAGGTATATATGGAAGGAGAAGAAACTTTACATAAACTAATTAGGGCTTTGAAGATTAACAGTAGAGATAATAATCCAGCAGAGATGTTACAGCAAAGAAGGAAATTGACTAGAACCAAACCACCGGCTACACAAAATCGAAGAGCCAGTGTGTTGTAGTAGTTAGAGGGTTGGACTACGATGGGAAACCAGGGTTCAAATCCCCCTCAACCACAGCTACCTCACAGGGTTCTTGTGAGGATTAAATACGGAGGAGGAGAACCATGTAAACTACTTTGAACTCCTTGGAGAAAAAGGCAGGATATAAATGTAATGAATAAATTAATTAATTCAAAGCACATTCACAGTATCCCCTTCCAGCTTATAGGAAGATTATTCATTAATTCCTTTATTTATTTGTATCTCATCCTACTTAGCTCAGTTGGCTAGAGCATGGTGCTGGTGATGCCAAGGTTGCAGGTTCAATCCCCGTATGGGTCAGCTGCATATTGCAGAGGGTTGGACCAGATGATCCTCAGGGTCCCTTCTGACTCTACAATCTGATGATGCTACGATTCCCAAAAGCTCAGAAGAGCAGTTATATACTATGTTCTTCTCAAGCTTCTTTGTGAGGTGGGATTTGCTCAAGGGCACAGACGATGCTGCAAGGCTGAGAAAGGCTTTTCATGCCCATCTCCCTGGCCCAGTTCCAAAATTCAGACAAGCCTTAGTTGAGGCAAACAGTGTAAAATCAAAGTGCACCTTCCCTCCCCCCCCAAGGGATATGGCACAGGTAAAGCTAACTGACGTGCATCGCAGGCAACGGAAGTGTAATCCTGCCTAGTGAGAAGTACATGTGGGGCCACAGGGGACTGTGGGCGAAGGCTAACGCCGAGAGATCTCTGTTTGCCGTAAGCATTTCTTTAACATATACTATGATAATTCAGAGGAAAAGCTTATCCCAGAACATTCTACCAAGGGTGCACAGTATGTTCAATAAATGCTGATGTATGTACATTAGTTATAACATAGCTCAAGGCAATGTATTCTTAAATGAGGTGTCTCTATCAATCTTGTATCCATCCCCCCCACCCCAGCACACTGAACGCAAGCTGCTGCAAAGGCTGTTCTGCTCCAATAAATGCTGAAGCCATTTGCACGGGAGCAAAGCAATGCATTTATTAACCAAGATTAACATCGTCCAAGTTTCCAGGGTTAGGAATTCAATTGAAAAATAAATGCCTCTTTGCATTACATTAGCACATTTTGCGATGAGCATCATGAACCAGTCGAAGCTCCCACCCCCCACCCCCATTGCTCCAGGTCGCTGGGTTGTGTCCCTCTTAAACAATAGGCAATTGACTTTTGAGAGCAAATGACTTGTAAGTTCCATTTTCAAAACTGCCAGGGAGATTTCCTGAGAGTGTCGTGTTGTTGCAAGGCTTTAGCATGAGACGCAATCTTGACAGACGCAATCAGAGACAGAACCAGAACCTAGGGAACTCTGGGTTCTGGAGAAAAACAGCAGCCACAATTCAGTATTGTGTTCAGCATAGATAAGCCCCTTGAATCTAGAGCTTTAAACTCATTGCTTTCAAGCAGATGTAAGTGTGCCTATGCTGGATTCTGCCAGTAAAACATCATATACCTACATTGGCTCACAGTACATTTCCAAGCACAATTGTTGGTGCTGACCTTTAAAACCTCAAATGGCTTTGGCCCTGTATATCTGAAGGAGAGGCTCCACAACAATCACTTAGCCTGGACACTGAGGTCTACCTCCAAGGGCCTTCTGGCAGTTTCTTCACTGCGAGACATTGAAGCTACAGAGAACCAGTCAGAGGGCCTTCTCAGTAGTGGCGCCCACACTGTGGAACGCCCTCCCATCAGATGTGAAAGAGATACAACTTTTAGAAGACATCTGAAGGCAGCCCCATAGAGGGAAGTTTTTAATGTTTAATGTTTTGTTATGTTTCTGTATATGCTGGAAACAACCTAGTCAGATTGGCCGGGTACAAATAATATTTTCTATTGATTATTATTATATCCAATGTCATTTCTGGTCAAGAGGTCTTTAGATACCCCAAACTAACTGAAGCTTCTTTCAAGCATGAACCACGCAGCAAAGCAGTGCCTGGATAGATCCACTTGAATCTCAGGACAACACAGTCAGACTCGAACAAACATTATTTGCTTCAGAAAAAATACATATATTAACATAGAAAATAACTGTTTGGGCTACAATCCTATGATCAGTCCTATGATACATTCCTATGATCTGGAAGTAAGCCCTGTTGAACATAAGGGGCTTACTTCAGACTAAACAAGCATAGGATTGCGCTGTGAAAAGAACACAAACTCTCAAGTTGTGACAAATTAAGTCTGTAGCCTTTTAACCTGCAGAGCCGAAATGTGTGCATTTGTATAGTGGAACCACAGATACCCCCTCTTTTGGGGGGAGAGTATTATTATTATTATTATTATTATTATTATTATTAAACCGCCCTATACTCGGAGGTCTCAGGGTTCACAGAGTGGGACAGGCTTTGACCCACAATGCGCATTTCACACCCACCCATCCCTCTTCCCAAATTAGAAGCTAGGGGAGGCACAGATAAATTGTGAGTTGTAAACTCCCTCAGCTGAGCTGGAAGTTACACAAAAGGCAACAGACCCATCCTTCTTCACCGCACCAGGAGACTCACAGGCCAGGAAGTCATAATTATACAAAATCAGGGTGAATGAGCAGATATTAATTATGACATAGGAAGTTTCCCAGACAGGAAAAGGCAATTAGAGTCAGGATCCTAGACATATTGGCAATTGCTCCCTAGATAGCAAGGCAGTGGCTCCTACAGACAGGACAGCCTAGAGCAGTGTTTCTCAAACTTGGTTCTCCAGCTGTTGTTGGACTACAACTCCCATCATCCCTAGCTGGCAGGTCCAGTGGTCAGGGATGATGGGAACTGTAGTTCAACAACAGATGGCGACACAAGTTTGAGAAATAGAGGCTTTCCTTGGAGAGGCATGACTTTAAGAGTTGCTGTGTCCCTTCCTGAGGCTCAGAACCTGAGATCTGATATCCTCAGGGCAGAGGAACCAGGTCTCCTAATTTACAGAGGACACTCCTCTGACTGAAGGAGTCCTCTGTTTGAAGGGCTGTGTGGCCCAAATCCAATGTAAAGATAAACAACTTTGTAAATGGTTGTGGCAATTTAGCATTCAGTAGGAGGAAGACAGACTTAAGGAACAGGCAAAAGCCTCATTATAAATAATTTCCTCCCCAATTCCCCTAGAATGATTCACAATCTGGGCAGAAAATGGTGACTGATAGCTGATGGCCACTGAGTGGATCTCAGCTACCGCCTGAGGCACCAGAATTAAGTTTTAAAACATTAAGGATAAAAAGACTACCACTATAGCTGCTGCTGCTGCTGCTGCTGCTGTCACCACTACCACCTCTATGGCAGGCCCCATCCCTAGAAATGTTTGAGGAATTTCTTTCCAGAAAGGACACTCCCCTGGTTTCAGAAACCCTGCATTTCACTCCTCCAGCTTCCAATTCCAACTTTCGGCTCGGCAGACACAAAAACTTGCCCTGTTTTCCTCAGTGAAATGCTGGTGGCTATGTGCTCTTTCTCAGCCTCACTTGCCTCACAGTGTTGTCTTGAGGATAAAGCAAGGAAAACCCCAGTGCATACCAACCTCAGCAACTTGGATACAAATGCGATGAAAAATACTTCCATTCACAGCCAGTGGGTGCCTTCTCCCTTATCCTGTGATTATAAAGCCACACAGTATACTTGAACTATAACATGCAAACATGGCCCTCGGTTCTTAGGATTCTTCCGCCACAAAAGCTCCACTATTTGGAAAATGAACGACTCCATTGTGAGCTGCTGTATAATGAGGTGGCCAGCAGCTGCTTCCACCCATGTGAAAAATGACTCAGCTGAGTTTCACTGATGTATATAAATGTCTGGGGTGGGACAACGAGACTCAGTTAAAGATCATTCTCACTTTCATGAACTCTCTCTCTCTCTCTCTCTCTCTCTCTCTCACACACACACACACACACACACATACACACACACACACACACACACACCACTGATAGCATGCTGTCTCTCTCCAGCTGCCCAAAAATAGTATGTCCTGAAAATATTTCCTATGGTCCATGTTCTGGAAAATGCTAAGTATAGTCAAAGGGCAATACGGAACGAGAAGTCAGTGTTAGAAATTGGGGGCCCTCTGTGTAGTTTTGTGGGATTCTGCATCTATCTTTTCCAGATATGTGAAGAGAGGCCTGCTTAAACTCCTCTGCGGTGCTCATTTTAAAAAGAAACTAGGTGTCAATCAATTTCAATATACCCCAAAATGAACCTGTTCCAATTCCTGCTCCTCCCTTTACAAAATGAACCAGTTTTGTTCCTGTTCAGTTCACAGTTCATTCAGACCACCTTCGGCAAATTTTCTCAGCATCCAGAATGTTACAAGCCGCTGTGCTAAAGTGCAAAGCATATTTAAGAAGACAAAGGAAACGTTTTTTTAAAAACCCACGGTGAAATGCAAATTGTTTATTTCCCCCCAGCAACTATCTTTAAGCTTAAAGAGTGAAAAATACATGAAGGGGAAAGAACTTGAAGATGAAAGTTCTACCCCAAAATGAACTTAATTCACATTCCGTACACCTGGCAATTATGGGAACTACTTTCAGGTGTAGGTAAGATACTTCAGTCAACTTTATTGAACCAAAATAGTTTATTCCAAAGCTTTGTCTTGTTCTCAGTCCACATGTTCTCAATCCAAAAGGTCGTCCAGTACAAATCCAGTTTAAACGTAAAGAACGCTAAGAAGGTAAGGTTTCAGAAGTTAAGTACCTGGACAGATGAATGAGTAGCAGTCACCTTGTCACAGTTTACCCTACTTTGGAGAGATACATCGCATTTCTATTTACCGTATTTTTTGCTCTATAAGACGCACCAGACCACAAGACGCACCTAGTTTTTGGAGGAGGAAAACAAGAAAAAAAACATTCTGAATCTCAGAAGCCAGAACAGCAAGAGGGATCGCTACGCAGTGAAAGCAGCAATCCCTCTTGCTGTTCTGGCTTCTGGGATGGCTGCGAGGCCTGCATTCGCTCCGTAAGACGCACACACATTTCCCCTTACTTTTTAGGAGGGAAAAAGTGAGTCTTATAGAGCAAAAAATACGGTAAATTAAAGTACAGTGGTACCTCGGGTTACATACGCTTCAGGTTACAGACTCCACTAACCCAGAAATAGTACCTCAGGTTAAGAACTTTGCTTCAGGATGAGAACAGAAATCGTGCTCCGGCGGCGCAGCAGCAGCAGGAGACCCCATTAGCTAAAGTGGTGCTTCAGGTTAAGAACGGACCTCTGGAACAAATTAAGTACTTAACCTGAGGTACCACTGTAGTTATTTCTAAATCTGCATCCATATCTAAATCTCAGATGTCTCTGGCTCACCATTGAGCTCATCGGTGAGCGGGGGGCTATAAGTATACTATAAACACATTAGACATCAGGCAGGTACCATCCCTGCTCAGATTTGGCCTATTGAAATCAATGAAGTTAGCCATATACACTAACATTACCAGTGGGTCTGCACGGATCATGCCCAGCTCTAAAGATTTTTAAATATATAATAAATTTATGATTTTTAAAAGGTTTTTTGTTATTAAAAAAACCTGAATGGTATTTCTTCTCTTTTATGGTATTTGCATGCTGTTTGTGATGTTTTCTTTCTGGGCTGTTTTCTGAAGAGAAATAACCAAATGTAAAAGCATCAATCAATCTCCCCCCTTTCCCTGTGCCCATTTCTTAAAATGGGAAATTTTGGAAATGGAAGTTCCCAAATCTGGTTCATTTTTCCTTGTTGTGTGGGCTTTGTGGGTTTTTGGCTCAGAGCCACATTTCTGAAATTCTTTGAAGGATAAAGCAAGTTCAAAAAAATATACATGTGACATGGTTTCATACAATAAACAAAAACTGGCCACCAAGTACATTGGAAAAGAAATTACCAGGAAATACAAAAAAGATTTGTTGACTTGGCAGGTGACCTGTGTACACTGAGATTACAGAAAAAAGAGAAAAGCCTCTTCATTTACTCTTAATATAGCATCCTCATCCTGTTGCTTTGGCACTGACATAGATTAATACTTTGTTTTCCTCTCAGGAGCTGGGTTAAATCCTGCTTAGTCTTTGTGAGAAACGGATTTTGTGATTTTTTTTATATACCATTCTCGCTTACCAGTTTGATGCATATATATATATATATATATATATATATATATATATATATATATATATGGATTCCAAAAGTGCAGCAGGAGTTCTAAAGCCGTCATACAATATTTTTTGAATATTCTTTGGTATGCGAACAATGTGTTTCAAAGGCCTTATTCGCTTTCCCGAGGGAATGATGTAGGCCATGTCTATTTCCTTCTTTATGGATGCTTTTAGAAACAACAACCACGATTTGAATGAGGATGACTAAATGCAAAAGATGACATGTCTTTTGTACTTTCATAGTAGCGTTAGAAGAAAAACAATAAGCGGAAGCAATCACTCCTTCTCGTCTGCTTCTCGTCTGAAGGCTGGGGCCAGGCGATCCTTGGTTTTCAGCATTGTGATATAGCACCAGCTAAACATTGCGACTTACCAATATATCACGATGTCTGAAATAAAGGATGGAGCTATGCAGAGGCATCGGCTGGCTTCACTGTGTTCCCCACGTTGTGATTTTTGCATAGCACACGGACATCATGATTCGTGATATATCGCCAAGTCAAAAATTATGAAACCAATATTACAATATGGACTTCAAACCAGTTTTGGACAATATTGCAATACATCTCCTAGCCCTACTGGAGCCATATATGACACAGCATGTGTCTGAGTAGTGTGTAATCCCCCCCCCAAAAAAAAAGAAAATGCTTCATTCTTTGGCCATTTAATGGATATGGTGATGGACTTTAGGGTATAACCGAATCACTTTTTGGAGTGATCTGTTCTGCATGGCTTCAGAGTTTTCTTCCATGGACTTGCTGGCGGTCATTCAAGCAAGAAATTCCCAGCCACCCAGGCTGTAATCTGAAATGGAAAAGTGGTGGAAGGAGAGGGGTTTCTTAACTGTCGCTCCTCCCCCAAGTTGGTTTTACCACAAGGAGGGGAGAAGAAATGTGGATGATGTGTCATCAAGGGATACACAACATGGTATTGTTGGTCTACAGCTCCTATGATCACTGTCCATTTGCTATGCTGGCTGGGGCTCGATGGAAAATGGAGTGAAACAACATCAGGAAGCTTTTAGGGAAGTTTTTAATGTTTAACAGACCACTATATTTTAATACTTTGTTGGAAGCTGCCCAGAGTGGCTGGGGAAACCCAACCAGATGGGTGGGGTATAAATAATAAATTGTTGTTGTTATTATTATTATAATTATTATTATTATTATTATTGTGCCCATCGCCCATCCAAGCTGATGGGCTCCACCCCAATGGACGTAAGGTTTATCTCTGTTCAGAACTGGCACTTGCAGTCCCCTCTATGCAGGACTGCAGGGACGCTCGCTGTGCATGCATTTTGAGTGCAATGTGCATTGGTGCACTTGGCTAACTGGAAGCACTTCTTACTTATCACAGGCAACCAGGCAAGTGCCTCATCAAAGGTGTCACACGGACCAGAGGCAGATTTAGGGCAGTGTGACCAGTTCCCCCGCAGGAGGGTGCAGGAGCCAACGAGGCACCTTCCCGCCTCCTTCCCAAAGTCTAGTAAGTGCTGGGTTTGGGGAAGAAGGCATGAGGGCTATGACAGGGTCCTAGAGTCTTCCTTCCTCCTGCTCAAAGCCTAGCTTTTGGAAGGAGATGGGAGGGCACTAGGAGCCTACCAGAGCCTCATGCCTCCTTCCCAAAGCTCAGCACCTTGCTTAGCTGGCTTTGGGAAGGCAGCACAAGGGCTGGGTGGGTGTTCGTCAAATTTTGGCCTTGTACAGAGGACCATATTACCAAGGTCCACCCCAGCTCAAACCCAGAGTAATAATCTTCATGCATGAAATGTTTCCATCAACTTCAGTTACACAGGGGTGTAAGCAGAACAATCCATCCATATTTATGGTATTAATTCAAACCCCCAAGAAGTCCATGAGAGACAGAAGACCAAAAAAATAAAATAAAAATGAGTTCAACATAAGCTCCACAAGCTCGGATATTGCATAGTTCCCAAAAGTGAGTCCTGACTCAGATATTTAAATGTGGTAAATGCACCCTAAGAATTACCATTATTCATTTGAGGAACTCAAATGTCAAGTGGCTTCAATCAGAACAGTCTACTTACATTCATGCCCCCTCGACGCACAAACCATTAATCCAAAAATGTATCTAAGTTTGTGTTTGTTCAGGAAGAACGCAAAAGGCTTTGAGGCACATACAGAGATATATTTCACAACTATTCTGCATAGGCATACGCGCACGATACACTGTGAGTAGTGGTACCAAAACACCAGAAAGCTCACAGATATTTATTTTGGCTTTTTTATTATTTAAAAAGTGATTAGATTCAGCCAGGCCTGTGCAAAGTTTGTCTGAGGCCCAGGGTCGGAGTCTTGCCCATGAGAGGCAGCTCTGTGGCATCGCTGCCCGATCCGATCTGACGCTACACACTAGTATGCAGTAAAGCAGGTCCAGATTTTACTATCAAAGGCTTGCACTAAGTCCCTGATTGGCTGGGAGGCAAAGGGCATTATTTCAATGACAACATAAGTCCAGTAGACCCCAGTGGAGCCCCCCGGCCAGCTTAGCTCTCTAAGGCCCAGGGCAAGTGTTCCCAGTTGCCCCCACTCTCATACCCTGCAACATGTTCAGTCCCAAAATCAGGACATGCATCTTCCCAACCATGCTCCCATGCGAGTCACATGACCAGCGCAAGATCCCAGAGCTTTTCGGGATCATACTCTCACGACACCCAAAAACACACGCCTTTGGCTAATTTAACAATCTATGGCCTTTTAAATTGGACAATGGTATTGTTATTGTTTGTTACTATGTTATGTATAGGGATGCGGGTGGCGCTGTGGGTAAAACCTCAGCGCCTAGGACTTGCCGATCGCATGGTCGGCGGTTCAAATCCCCGCGGCGGGGTGCGCTCCCGTCGTTTGGTCCCAGCGCCTGCCAACCTAGCAGTTCAAAAGCAAGTAGTGCAAGTAGATAAATAGGGACCACTTACCGGCGGGAAGGTAAACGGCGTTCCGTGTGCTGCGCTGGCTCGCCAGATGCAGCTTGTCACGCTGGCCACGTGACCCGGAAGTGTCTGCGGACAGCACTGGCTCCCGGCCTATAGAGTGAGATGAGCGCACAACCCTAGAGTCTGTCAAGACTGGCCCGTACGGGCAGGGGTACCTTTACCTTTGCCTATGTTATGTATGTATTTTTTGTATTTTTCTATTGTAAACTGCCCTCTGATCCTCGGGTGAAGAGTGGCATAGAAATTTAATAAATAATAGTAACACACTAAAACAAATTAAAATTGCCTCAACTTTCTAAGCACCTGGGTCGGCTTGTATACAGTACAGATGGGTTCTCTAACTAAAATAGAGTGGGTGGTTAACATTTTTGCTTTCCTCTCAAAACTTGCCTTTTGCTCCTTGCAATTGCAATTTTTGGGGGGTGGGGTAAAGAAAATTAAACGTCCAAACTACTTTCCAATCAAATTCCCAAAGTTAATTAAAAAAAAAACAAGAACAAACTGTCAAAAACATCACACAAAAACAAAAAATATTTTATTGTACCTTCTTGTTGGTTGTTTTAATATTATTGTCATCTGCCCAAGGATTTTAATGAAGAGTGAGAAATACATACATACATACAGTGCTTTTTTTCTTTAAAAAAATGTTTAGGGGTATTCTCATTTCGACTCAAGAAAATCACCATTTTATAGTTCAAATCGGAAAAACAAATACAGTAAATGGACAAAAGTACAAAGATTCACAAAATGTTTAGGGGTACCCCTGCATACCCCCAGAAGAAAAGCTCTACACGCATACATACATATCATTCCTAAAAGAAGGGGCTCCTTAAAAATGGATTTATGTCCAAAAGCTCGATGAAAAGAAAAATAAATATATCTTGCCTTTGGAAAGACAATAAGAATGGTTTCATGGTCCTTCTAAGGGAAGCGTCATTTTTGTGATTGTCTCTCATTGGTATGGCATCCCCCACCCCTCTCGTAGCTTGTACAGGTACATATTTTCCTCGTAGGCTCCATCTATTCACAATTGGACAGTCTGTCCAGTCTCTCTGAGATGCATTTGAGCACTTAGTGATGGGGAAATGCTTTTTAAAAATTCTTATAGTGGAAAGGCATTTCCCACCCACGTTCCGTTTTGAGTCCAAATGAATGAGGAAGAAGAGGATCAGCATAATATTCACGATGTGCAGTGCCAGGGATTTCCACCCACACGCTACTTTTGCTGATGACGCAGGCAAAATTGGCACTGTTCCTGCCTGGCACAAATTTCAAAACTACAACTGCATATAGGGTTTGCGCCTGCAGCAGTTCCTGCATGGTGGCATAAAGGAGGCACAGGTCAGATGGTGGTCAGGATGTACAATGATTAAAATCAACTTCCAGTCAGCACTGGCCTAGGACAGTGGTTTTCAACCAGTGTGCCGTGGCACCCTGGGGTGCCTTGAATGGTGGGCAGGGGTGTCGTGGGCAACACTGGCCTCTGCCCCTCTTTCCTTCCCTCCCTCCTCTGATGCCTTCTAACGTCTCTGCCTCCCAAAGATTTGTGTGGCTGTTTGTTGCAACAGCCCTTGCTCCTAGCTCCCCAGGCGAATGGTGCCTCTGGGGCTGGTCAGGGGGTGCTGGTTGCCAGAAGCTGAGGCGGCCTCAGAGTAAGCAAGGAAGTGGGTGAGGGAGCCCAGCCAGCCAGCCAGCCCTCCAGCCCTTACTTTTGGGAATGGACAGACTAGTGTCCTGGACTTTCCTGAGCTTGCTGTGAGCAAGGCTTGCCTGGGAGCTGAGTGCCTCATGATGAAGGAGAATCTTTCCCCTGTGCAGGGCTCATGTCCACCTTTGGCCAGTCTTCATCGGGTCACTAAGACTGGGGGCATCCTCTTCCCAGGCCCCTGTGGGGCAATATGAGGCAGCACCTCTCTTTGGGGCAATGGGGTGTGGCACAGAAAGAATGTAGTTGGTCAAGGGGGGCATGGACTCAAAAAGGTTGGAAACCTCTGGCCTAGGATAAACTTGTGGTACCAGCATGCACTACTAACAGTTACAGAACTTGAACTTGATACACATTCTTTCCAATAACTGAAGCCTTAGTGATTGGTCTGAGATGTAGAAACTGTAGCTGACAGCTGAGGCTCCATTCTTTCCATTTTTCAAGTATATATTGCTTTTCCTAAGAGCACAGGCTCATCATCATCCAGTAGATTGACTGAAGTTGTGCAATTAATGAGTTGCATTCACTGCCAGTTTATACAGCTGGGTTCCTGTTATACATTTGCTCAAGTGCTCAAGTTAATGGTTTTTAGCTAATGCACCCTTGGAGAAGGAAAAATGGGGATTTTGGGGCCCGTTTCAGACTGACTGCACAGTCAGGTTTTAGATATGGGAAACCCATTCCTTCACCATAAGGATGGACAAATCAATTTTGGTTTCTCTTGGTTACTCATTTTTCTAATCAAGTTCAGTCGACCACATTTCTGCATCAGTTTGTGATTTTAAAAATAAATAAATGCCTTCATGAAAATGCACAAGTTTTTTACTGCACATTTCCCCTAATGTACACATTTTGAATCTGATTCTCCCCAATATACAAATTGTTTCAAGATTTCCCCCTAATATAATCACTTTTTTCAGCAACAGATGCATTTATTTATTTATTTTTGCATACATCCCTTTAATAAATCCCTGTACTAAGCTGCAAATTTCAGATAAGTGCAGATTTCAGAGGATAGCTGTGTTTCAGGTCATGGATCATTTCAAGAGGTGTGAATTAGTTACCTGAAGCAACCTGAAGCAATTTTCTCCTTCAGGCTTAGTCACTAATGCACCGCCGTCATCTGTTGCATTACGTCTATAGGGGTTCCAATTAGCTGGTTCTATCCGCTCTGGAGGTGATGTGCTGAGAAACATAGTCTACTGTTGATGGGAAGAAGGAGAAACAACAACAACGTGAAGATTTAAAACAAACATAGTATTGTGTTATAGCAAGACACAACCACTTAATGCCATCACCAACTGCCACATTCAGGTTGAATGAACAATACAAGACAACACCCAAAACCGAGTGAGTTCAGTTGACTCTTAGCTTTGCAGTTTTTAATGACTGATTCCACCACCAGAATTACCCCTCCTTATCCAATGTTCCCATAGACTGTGTGCTTTAAAAATAAATAAACTAAGACACAAACATTTAATTCATATATATTTTCATCTTTTCCTAAAGATCAGGAGAGTAGACTTGCAAATTTGTTGTATTTCACGGGTGCTTATCATTCAACATATGAGCCACTTTATTTAAATCCACGAAGGTTGCAGTCCTAAGGCTCAAAGGGCTGTTGACAGTGCTTTGCTCATTGCCCTACTGGACTGCCCTAGAGGAGCACCAGTTTTTTCTTTCTCCAGAGGCTCCTCTTCCCCACATTTCTTTTGCACACAATTTCCTTCCTATTCAAACTAATAAACAGGATTGAATCACCTCAGCTCCTGGTCTGGTGTGATTTCCTCCCTGGTTTGTGGGAACTAAGAAGGTGTTGGAGCCTTCAGATCCATCTGACTTCTGGTCCTCCTCTGACACAAACACACCCCTTTTAGACCCTACCAGTATCAGAGCTCTGTGGTAGTTGCCACAGGGGTGGGAGGAACCTGACATCAGATCTGCCTCTCTAAGGTCAGAGCTCTCTTTCTGGTCTCAGAGCATTCCTGGAGATGCGCTCCCAGGAATTGGAGGCTCACAGAGACTTTGGACAACTCTTTCTATGTATTGTTTTCATCATGTGCATTCTGTACTTCAGTGCTGGAATTTTGCTCAGGAGAAAACAAATAGCACTCTTCTAAAAAGAATACAGAAAGCCATGGGTTATAGAAGATCAGAATAATATCATCAGGGGGAAAGTATTAATGAGTCATCTGTTTCCGTGAATTACCCAAGCGTTCGCTGAAAGTGGAACACTTTCAACAACAAAAATCCACATAAGGCAGGCTTCAGAAATAAATGAGGGTTATGCAAGACTGGCAGGAAATAAGTTGATGAATCCTCTAAAATAATATTGCAACATATTTTGGCTCTCACTTATTGGTTGATGTAGGATTCTCTCCTGAGTGAGCAACTGCTGAACCCCAGGCAGCTCCACACCATGGCTGACTTTTTAAAAGGTGTGTGTGTGCTGGGGTGTCTTATGAACATATTTGTCAGGAAGGAGAGCTGTTGGCTAAAGGTTAGCAGTGAAAACACACACACACACACACACACACACACACACACCACTATTCCCCTGTTGCTTCAAACCAAACATACTTGCAACTGGGATGTGAATTCAGCATGCCTGATCTGAATCTGAATCCCCACCACCACCTCTCTCTCTTCTGAGCATTTAAATTTCACTCTAAAATAAAGAGTTACTTGTCATGCAAGAAACAGAAGTCCAAGGGAACTAGTTAAAGTGCAATGAAATGTGTAGAAAAACTCCTAATGCATTTTGAATTAGATCCTCCCTCCCATTCCCAGTGTGGCTTCATCCAAACCCTTCAACATTACTTTGAGGAAAATAGAGATTTACCCTCCAGCATTCCTCTGATGAAAGTAGGAATGCCCAATGCTATTTTTCTTGATAAAGAGGTGCCAGAACTCACCATGAACACCTCCCTTGTTCTCCTATAATGGCAATGGTGCCCACCTGAGAGGTACCGAAGGTGAGTTCCAGTGACTTCTGGCTGGGGGGAAAAAGCCCTGGGGTTGTCCTATTCCATACCCTCCAACATTTCTCCAATGAAAATAGGGACATCCTAAGGAAAAGCAGGACATTCCAGGATCAAATTAGAAACCAGGACCGGTTCCGTAAATCCAGGACTGTCCCTGGAAAATAGGGACACTTAGAGAGTCTGGCTTCATTACTTGCATATAGAATAAATCATTCCCAAAATAGCATGTTACAAAATAGCACACAAGCTTTTCAGTTATCCAGAACTCTTCATCAGGCTAGATAGGTTGGAGGAGGGGGAAAGTTGACTGATGCTGCAGCCATAGAGTCTACATTTAGTCACAGTCTTGCAATGGAATGTGGCACGAGGTAGCAAACATTCAACTTATTTATTACATATTATTTAAATTTACAGACTACCCTGTGCCATAAAGCAATAGATTAAAACTTAATTAAAACATCAGGATAAACCAAGAAAATAATTGCACTCCACAGCAGGTTTCCTTTGTATAAACAGTACATCTTAAAGCTGAGTTGGCCTATTAAATTGAAAAAGAAATCCATGCTAGGGCTTTGGGTGAGGCCAACTCAAACGTTACAAAATAGTGTGCGAGCTTTTGAGTTCTACAGAACTCTTCTTCAGGAGAATAGAGGAAAATAGTTGACTGGTGCTGAGGCCATGGAGCTGGTCACATTTCTTGAGAGGAAACGTGTGCCTATGAGGTCGAAAAATGAAACAAAGGAAATGGAAAGATTTACGGGAACTTGTGTCCATTTGATGATATTACAGTGGATGATGGGTTTTGGGCAAATTGTAGCTGAATCTTATTAGTAACAGTCCCACCAACCAAGCTTCCATTGGAATTTGCTAAATCAATCATTCCATTATGTCTGATGTTGTTTTTTGAGTTCCAGGAAGAACATTGCAAATCATTTGAATACCCCCCAGTGCTGCCCCGTTATATTGGTTGCTCATATTCACTATTAATCATACTGTTCTGCACAGCTGGAGCCAGAGTTTATGATCTGCTGAACTGCAAATCCACTTAATTACTAGCTTCTGAGGGGGGAGGGGGGTAGCACAAACCTTTCACTATATTGTAGAAGGGCACTAAGAATGGGTAAGGGTTGAGGGCCTGATTGCAGTTAATGGTGCAGCGTCTGAAGTTTGCAATTTCCTCTGTGAGAGTTTATTCAGGCAGCCATCCTGAAGTCATGGCAGACATGGGGGGGGGGGTGGCCAATCCTAATCCTACTCTGAGTGGACCCACTGAAATTCATACACTTGACTAATTTAGATCCATCAACTTCAGTGGGTCTATTCTGAGTAGGCTGACATCAGAGACAATCAGTGCTATTTTTCTAGAAAAAGAGGTGCCAGAACTCACCTTGTTCTCTTGGAATAGCAATGGCGCCCACCTGAGAGGTGCTGGAACTGAGGTCCAACCTGAAGCACCACTTTAGCTAATGGGGCCTCCCGCTGCCACTGCGCCGCCGGAGCACGATTTCTGTTCTTATCCTGAAGCAAAGTTCTTAACCCGAGGTACTATTTCTGGGTTAGCAAAGTCTGTAACCTGAAGCGTATGTAACCTGAAGCGTATGTAACCCGAGGTACCACTGTATACCACAAAGTGAGGATTTTGCATTTGTATGAGTGCTTTCTTTGACATTGGCATCAATTGGAACACAGACACAGATACAGATACAGATACAGATACAGATACAGATACAGATACAGATACAGATACAGATACAGATATATCAGCCCCACCATTGCAATTTTCAGTGTCCGGAATGGGGAAGGGATTAATCTCCCCTCCCTATGTGCTGTGATCCTGATAAAAATTGTTCCCCTCCACAGCTGTAAATAAATAAATAAATGCCCTCGCTCCTGTATACCTGAAGGAGCGTCTCCACCCCCATCGTTCAGCCCCTACACTGAGATCCAGCACCGAGGGCCTTCTGGCAGTTCCCTCACTGCGAGAAGTGAAGTTACAGGGAACCAGACAGAGGGCCTTCTCAGTAGTGGCGCCCACCCTGTGGAACGCCCTCCCTTCAGATGTGAAGGAAATAAGCAGCGATCTTCTCTTTAAAATACCTCTGAAGGCAGCCCTGTTTAGGGAAGTTTTTTAATATTTAATGCTGTATTGTTTTTAACACTTGATTGGAAACCGCCCAGAGTGGCTGGGGAAACTCAGCCAGATGGGTGGGGTATAAATAAATTGTTGTTGTTGTTAAAAACAGAGCCATGGAGAAACAGAGCAAAAACAAAAAATGCAGTTGGCCCTTGCAATGCCAGTTCAGTAGAAACTAGGTACAGGATTGCAGCCTCAGAGACATGCTGAGTTCATTTTCCAGGTTGTGAACACATCCTTTCTGCACGGCACTGAAATGGTTGGTGACTTCCTGGGCCGGCTCTGCCGTTTGGCAGAGTGAGGCGGCCTCCTCATTAGGCAGGTGTTGTGAGGCAGGAGTGGTGGTGGGGCAGGGCATCCCCCTGACTTATCATACCTGCTTCCCTCAGGTATGGTGGGGAAGCCTTGCACACAGAAGGTCCAGGGTGTGTGTGTTTAGTTAGCCTTATTAAATATCTTCCAAGATGACAATGCACACATACATGACAAGGAACTCATAAGTCACTCTCAGCAGCAAGAAACATCATAACTAGACACTGGAAGGACCTGTCAGGAGTGAACATAGACCACAAGTACCAAAACATATGGAAAACCGCCCTACTAGAAAAGTTAACCAAGAAACCTTGGTTTAATCTAGGTAGAGCTGGCGGGAATGTCTCCAGTCTGGAGAGCCACTGTCCATCCATGTAGACAATCAAAGCACTGTAGACTTAGAAGGGACCACAAAGGTCATTCAGTCCAATCCCCTGCAATGCAGGAATCTTTTGCCCAACATGGGGCTTGAACCCACAACCCTAAGATTAAGCATCTCATGCTCTGCCAGCTGAGCTATCCCATGTATATGGAGTAATGGCATGAGTCTATATAAGGCAGCTTCCTATCTTGCTATGCAGGCATTGTCCCATCACCAGTCCTGAAGGAAAACTCCACCAACAGTTTGGTCAGCTTTTGCACATAAAATGGAGGTACGCCATCTTCTCCTTCACCTCAGGCAACAACATGTCTTCTGCCTGGTCGTTATGCAATTATTGTTCTTTTTTAAAAAATGATTTTTGTCGTAGTTTCAATATATTAGTTGTCTGCTCAGAATGGTTCAGAGAGGGCTGACTCATATAGGTGTGTTTTAGCCACTAAATGGTTCATCCCACAATGAGATATGAGTGATTTGCTGAATGAGTGAAGTGGTTTCATTGAGGAGCCTTTTAAATACTGCCTCAGTCACATGAAAGCAGCTTTTCCATTAGAGGCCTCTTTTAAAATGATCCAGTCATTTGGGTGGGGAAAAGCTCGCAAGTTTGGTTCCCCCATTTTCTCATCTTTCCAATCTCAGATGCAGCTCTCTATATCTCCACAGCAATCTGGAACTTTTTAAAAAAATAATAATAATCAACTTCAGCATTTTATTGGTAATCTCGCCTAATAAACACATTTTTGCATGCAGCTTTGATTAATTGCACACTTTTGCAGTCATTTCCCCCTAAGACAATGCATTTTCTCATGTTTTCCCACTAATGTGTTAATTTTTATGCACATTACCCCCTAATATGCACATTTTTGCAAACATTATTTAGTTGAAGAACTTCGTTGCAAAATTCAGATTAGTGTGAATTTCAAAGGATGGTTGTGGTTTTTTTTCTCATGTTGTTTTAGAAAGTTGGGGCTGTTTTTTGGAGGGAGGGTTAGACGAAAACTGTATTTGATTGCTTGTATTTGATTATATGTTGTTCTCAT